AGGATTCGTTGCTGTCTTGCTAAGGGATTAAGGGATTGGGCACTCTAGCCCAGGATTGCCGCGGTGCAAACCTTTGCGTGCGGGCTTGTCGGATGTTGCCGCGCATATGTTTTATGCCATTCAGGGTACACCTTCGTTGTGCTAGCTGTTTCGTGGGATAACTGTGCGCTCTCTCATCCAGACCTCAGTGAGGCTTGTAGATCTCACACTGTATGCCCGTGCAGTGTTCATGGAGTTGTCACTGCTATAGTGCACTGCCAGCCCGGCACTCAAGTCACGGGCCGTCAGGAGTTCAGAGAGGCTCATCGACAACTGCTCTCTAGACCCTCAGCTCCGTTTCATGCAGGAGACGAGGTACTGGTGCGCCACTGGAGTGCAACCGGCGTGTGCTTTGTTCTGGAAGTTGCACAGCGGGCATGTAAGTGTAAACTGGAACTCAAGTAAGTAAGTAAGTGAGTGAGTGAGTGAGTGAGCAAGGGAGTAAGAGAGTAATTAAGTGCCTGTGTGCGCATATTAAGATGCATATCTTTACATATATATATATATATTTATTTATTTATTTATTTATTTATATACACACATATACACATCGCATGTGTGTATGTGTATGTATACACACACACACGTTAGTTCTGCATATGAGCATCCGTCAAAACTTCCGTAATTGTGGTTAAGACTAGGGTGACCGTGGAATGCCAGATCTTGCCAATTTCCTTGCAAAGCGATAGGACCCCCCAAAAGCGATACGTTTAAAACACACATCGGTTATGAGGGATGTGGGTTGATGTCGGTTTCGTTTGTATTGGTACTGTGGTTGGACTGTCACTGTCGTTCCTGAGAACCCTAGGTTCAGGGTCGGGTGTGGCGGTCGGAGACGGAAACTTTCGCTTGGGGGGTGGTGGAGGATGGGTGACGCGGATGACCACAGGTTGGCTCTCTGAAGCTTACGAAAGCATGCGTTGGGCCAGCAGTTTTTGGTTGGATAGGTGGCTAACCAATCGATACCCTAATCGATACCCTTATAATCGATACCCACCAGGTCGTTTTGTGACCCATTGCCCATTCTGACGCAATTTGAGTTTAGAGTAAAGGGCCGCTAAAGGGCAGGTAAAGGGAAGTAAAAGGCAGTAAAGGGCAGTGATCGCTGCCCCCATTTATCAAAGACCCCCCTAATTATAAAAATACATTGGCCCAAATCCACCCGGAATTAGCCCTGC